ATCGGGTGGTGAAGCTCTTATATGAGTTCTATGAGTGCTAGGTAATTCCTTAGCAAAGGGAAAAAATGAAAGAAATAGCAGAGAAGGCCAGGCCCTTCTCTGGCTCTTCTCCCTTGAGGCCCTTCTCCATGGAGTGATTTTTAAGTGCCTTACGAGCGTTAACGAAGAAACACCGAATGCGTGTAAGAGAGGCCAGACGATCAAGGACGAAAGAGCACGCGAACAAGGGTAGCCCCCATTCCCCATGCAGCGTTTATAGCGAGCACCTTTGGCACTAAGGGTGGCCCGAGCGCTAGGGGGATTGCACCACTGAGGAAATCGTAGACTGCCCCTCCTGATAAATCTTGGAATCCTGAGAGAGATAAGGAGTTTTGCTCCAGGTACAAGGTAATTACACTTCGATCAGAACTGGTCAGCACCGACGTCGGACCGATGTGATCATAGAAAAAGAACCGACATTCGTTAATAACAGTAACCTTATCAAGGTGATCTCTCCAGCCATTCTGAAGTAGTCGGTCGAAGTAGTTACCTTTGACTGCGGTCAGGGTTGAAACTGACGTCTTAAACAGTACGCCTTCAACATCCAACGAGATCGTTGTGACGACCATCTATAAAAGTAAATTATAATTTGACTCAAATTTGACATCCACACTCAACATTTGACTCTCATCTTCAACCCTCGTAATGTTTTCGTTGGGGGGGGGGGACAGTTCGAGCCCCTGTGTGCGGAGTGTCGTTCGGAATATTGAACAACTTGGGCACGCCGTAGCGTGTACGTTGGGTTGGGGATCCTCAGCGAGAGGGTAGGGGGTCGCATATGGTCGCTAGGGTCGCCTGAGGGAATAGTCACGTTTGCCGGCTGTTGATCTGTTAACTTTTTTCGGTTCTTCGTGTTTGATTAGCGTTCAATAGGCCTCCCCGATTTGAAGGCAGCCTTTTTGGGGCGGGGGGGGCCTGATAGGGGAGAATTATTCGGAAAGACTCCGAAAAATTCGTAGGAAGTCCGGGAAGATGGTAGGAGGAAGGGGTAAAGTCGTACCAGAGAGAGTAATCTGCAAGGCGAGTCGTATCTCGCCGAAATCCCCCCGAGGCAGGACCTGAAACAACCCGTCACTATTGTCACTCACACAATTGTCACACACACCACACAGCACACACGAACACACACTACACAGACAGCACCGGGCCACACAAACACAGCACACACACATGCACACACACACCCCCACATACAACACCGGGCGATGTCGTCTACCCAGACGATAAAACAGCTGAGAAAAGAAAAACAAGAAACTCACCTGCAGTGCGACTTCACTGGTCCCAAGTGTGTGCGGATAATGGCGCGTGGGTGTCGAATAGTACTGAATGACGGCAATCGAGCGCTAATCGTTTCTAGTACCGTTTAGGGCCCGAGCAAAGTCAAACATTTTGCCATATACAACTGTGCGCACCGCTCTGTTGACACGCAACTGCCTCGGATTTTCACTTACGTGGCGTTTACAATGCGCCCGGAGACGGTAGACGAGCACCATAAAGGGCATTTCTCCACTGGTCAGTCCAAGGGTTTACATTTTAGGGTTCGTTCAAAGGTATAGGTTACGGAGGGTATTCGGACTTCTAGGACTGCCCATTTAGGCCTCTGGTTTCTGCCCTATCTTGCTCGGTTTTCTTACCGAAAGGTGCCTATATTGGGCTTATTGAGCCCCAAGCGCCTATAACAGGCTCTTGTGACCGCTATTAGCGTCCCTTACAAAGAGTAAATTTCAGGTATAATCAGTAAAACGCTCGAAATGGACAGGTTCCATAAGTGAACTCACACTGTAGGGATACGGTAGAGGCTACAGTACAATGGTGTTTTCGCAGTGTGTCATGTCTATTCGGCTCGAATCTAGTCCAAAGTTTGCCAAAGACAGACAAGGCGAAATTGACAGCCGGCTGTCGATTCCTGTCTTGATCCTTCCCCTGACATACTGCAACACATACCCTGTCGACGAGACTTTGACAAAAAAATGCATCGGTTGGGAGACCCACGTTGCGGTAATGCACAAAATCTGGTCATTCTTCCTAGCTAGTTGACTCGTCATGCATCACAGCACTTACCAGGGGTGACCGATCGCAACGCACCCAACAAAAACTCCTCAAAAAAGCGTATTCTAAGCGGAACCAGTCATGATCATTTCAGGGGCTTTTCATTTTTTTTGCTTTTTGAAAGCAACATGGAATGGAAAAAGATTTATTTGAACAAGTACCAAACCCAAATCAGTCAACAACTGGGAAACAATAAAAATACACATACGTCAACTGAGGGAAAACAACCGAGCGCAACGGGTTCAAGCAGGTGCGTGGGGGGGTGGATCTCTTGACCATTAAAAAGTACCATCTAACGCATCATTTTTCTTTATAAACAATTTCACATAAGTTTTGATACTGCTATCAAATTCATGACAATCAACGAACATGTCCCTATATCAGCGCTGGAAAGGGCGTATCCACAGACCTTCCTGTATAAACAAACGCACCTGTTTGTCTGTGAAATGAGGCCGATCAAGGGCAGAGACGTAGACAACGTGCGGAGAGGAGAGCGCAGACAGCACACGAAAACGTCAACACCTTCGTTTCGAGGATGACGATTCCTCTCAAGCGATAACATTTCACAGATACGCAGCCGTCGCCAAGCTCAGAACTAAGTCCATGAACCGCCCTCCCCTTCGCTGAGATATGAACTCCAGAACAATAAATATCACAAACAACTCAATCCACTTTCATCAGCTTGGCACCCTCAGCCTTTATCAACGAATCCTCCTAAGATTCTTCTTCGTTAAGCAAAAGGCTGGCTAATCCTTCAACTTGCTCGTCTCCATAGCCAATATTACCTGCATCGGGATTCACAGGATGCACGTATGGAATCACAGATTTCGCTACCTTCAAAAAAACACTGGAAAATAGAAAGAAACCAGTTAGCACAAAAGAAGGTGATCTCAAGTGATAAAATCATCCCAGTACAAAAAGAAAAGGAACAGAAACTAACTTTTGTTTTCCGAGGGCCATAATCGAATATTAAAGTCATTCAGAATGCTACACATAGATTCACCAATATAAAACACTCCACTAACCCATCGTCTACAAATCCAGGTAAAA